GATTTTACCTGATTTGAGGTGCACTCTTTTTTAATACAGGGCTCATTTTAATGAATTGGATTACATTGATTGTGATAGCATAATCAAGTGTGTAAGGCTAGAACATGGTTCCCCAGACTGCAAGTAGGCAAATATTCACAGGGATCATTTGGCGATGTGCACATGGCTGTCCATGTTTACACACTTTGTTTCCTTTTTGAGCTGGTTTCCCAAAAGTCGATGGATCAACCAATGGTACTTGACTTAGATCTGCCCATCAGGGTGTTTTGGGAGCTGTGTGTGTACTGGGATGCAAGACTATGTGAACTTTCTTTGCATAGACATTCAGATGTGTTTACATGCATCTTGGGAGAACTGTAAATCCAGTCTTTTATTTTGGTCACATCTTATTGGAGGCGTCTAAATGTGTACCACTCACTATCCACTCACTCATAGCAGATTATTGTCTGCTTGAATTAAATTCTGCAGTTGTGATTTCCTCAGTTACCAGTGAGCTCCTGGGCCTCTTCATCTGGACTGGTATAATTATATTTGTCTGCATCTCTGGAGAGGACTGGGAGGACAGGCACTTGCCTCTGTTCATTTTAATAATTGGAACAATGCAACCCTTCCCTTACATGAATGCCTTGTGCACCAAAGTTCAGTGATCACTCCAGTAATTTCTTTTCTTAGCTTTTTGAAAAGCAATAACATTATTTTATACTATTAAACTTTTCAAATAACCTCTGAATTGACAATTTGCAAGCCATTTACTGTTCCTGTCCACATTGGTGGAATGATTTCTTTGATGGCTTCTTCTTCCAGTTCTTTCCTTAACAATGAAGGGAAATATTTTGCTTTGAAGGCATCGCTTCACTTAATGCAACACTTTAAGATTATTGAAAATAAGAACCCCCATCCTGTCCCTCATAGAACAGTGGCACAAAGCGACTGACCGACCATTTTCTCTCCTCTAAATGGAAATGTTAACATATACATAGATGTCACTGTTGCTGACTTCACTGCGTCACAATAGTTCTTCCAGAAGGCCACACTGCTTCCATTTGAGGAACAGCTAGGGACAGAGCTCGATGACAGTTTAACATCTGTGGCAGTTTAACAAATGAATCCAGTCCCAAATCTGCTTATCAAACTCCAATCTGTTTAAGTACTTTTAGTTTAAAAGGTTTACTGTTTGTTTGTTTGTTTGTTTTAACTCGGTGCAGCAACAAAACAAATTTAATCAGTTTTGCGTAAGAAAAGATCTCATTTAATATTTGAGAATGCAGCTTGTTCATGTTAATAATGCGACTGTTCAATGTAACTGCGACTTAAAAACCAAACACCAGACGAACCTGACACTGAGTTATAGAAACTATGCTAATTAACTATCAAACATAAACCACATTTTGCAGAGCTGAAGGGTTATAGGGCTTTCATGAAATGTAAGAGTATCACTGCTCTGTGACATTCATTAACTCTGTCCTGACTTTTTTTTTTTTTTTTATTGCATTCACTATTCACTGGGGAGCTGTGCTGTGGCTGCAGTGAAACAACACAGTGACAATAAAATATACCTTCCTAAACTTTGTTTCATTTCAACACCTTTCATTGCTTACACTAAATTTTGCCCCCTTTAACCTTTTCCTATTATTCCATCTCTAGTCTTTCAGTTGTTCCTTTAAACCAAAATAAGCCAGCAATGCAGTTTAGCTGCCAGCCCCAAATCTAATGCTTTGTCGAACTCTTGTTGTAAAATATTGTATTTCACATGTTCCACCGAGTAATCACGTGTGCCACAATCATCATCCTTTTATTTTCTTTGCCAATGTCTATAGTGCCAGAGAGAGAAAGATAAGAGACTAACAAAAATAACAAGAACAGGAATAAATAATTTGAATAGGGATTTGTTCTGCATCAGAACTTAACAAATCCAAACATTTCTCCAGCTCCAAAATGGAACCCATCCCCAGTTACAGAATTTTATTAAATATAAGAACATTTAATTATTAATCAGGTTCTATGTATGATACAGCATGTTAACGCTGAAGGTATAATGCAATGAGATAGTTGCAAAGTTTCTGTACTATGATGGAAACCTAAAACTGGGAAATTAACTATTAACTAATAAATTATTAAATGATGGGAAATTAAAAGTTAGCCTGCCTCAACTCTGTAACTTGTAAAATTTGAAACGACAAGCAGGTAAAATCTCAGTTACGTGAAGTAAACCAACAATCGCAAGTAAAATTCTGATCTTGAAAAGCTGTATTATCTGTACAATAATGCCAGCTGCCTTAAATGAGCCATTCATATTACATTAGTTAATTATGTGAATTCATTAGTTAACATTCTGAAATGGGAAAAAATGGAGATTTAAATTGCATTCAATCTTTTGTGCTGAGATTTAGGGATCCACTTATCCTTTTCTGTTTAAAGCTCATCTTGACCAATTCAATATAATGTGTGTATATAGTGTCTAAGCTATTGTTACATAAATGTTGCTTCTTTTATTCATTTGGAAATAACCAACTCAGTGAAATATGTCCATTTCAAGGCCTTTAGGGATAAATCAAATTCAGATCTTTACTCAGCTGCCTGCTAAGAGTTATGCAGTCCTCTGCAACATTTTTCTGACAGACAAATCATTGATGCCATCTCTTGTTCCTTCTTTTCTTTCCCCAAGACTACAGAATCAAAACTGAACAAATATTTTTATCTTCCCATGTAACTGTGTGCAAACACAGTCTTATTGTCTTGAAAAGACGTCTGTGAAAACTCTATCTTATGCATAAATGCCGACTTGCTTTTTATTTTTTTAGGTTTAGCATGTCATTTTGACAGTTTTTGTGACACAAAATGTCACAGCTGGCTAAATGGTGCAGACAAAGATACTGAGCAATCAAAGAATTTCCAACATGGGAAAAGTCACAATATTTATAGACCGTAGTGACAGGAGAATGAATTATAAATACAGTTCAAACACAACTCTAATCTGGTTTTCTTCTGCATTTCCAATGTTTATAATACTGTTTCTAACTTATAATATTAAAACTTTTGCATAACATAAAATCAACATCAATAAAAAAAACATATACTGTGTTAGGAACTAAAACAGTATCAGGTTGACTGAGATATTAATTACAGTTTGGTATCACTAAATCCTGGAGCTGTAAATGTGACCCTCAGGTTAATAAGGAAATTGATGGTTAAAAGGAATAATTAAAATATAACTACTATAACTTATTGCTAATCTATTAGAGTTAAGGAGACAGCCAACAGGAGCACTCTGTTGTAATGAGCTTTGCAACATATTCCAATGAGGCCAAATACAGAAATCCAACCTCAACCCAAGTCTTAAAAGCAGTTATTTAAAGACCGAAGCTTAGCATTAAAATTTACAGCCTCAATAATCCACTACTGCCTTGTTGCAGTGGTTCTGTGTACTGTAGGTTGACGTGAACTCAGACTATATGGAGGAGGCAGTAATTACAAATAATATACTTATGGGAATCTTATTCAAAAACTTTTCTTTGCAGAGCTATAACCATACAGAGATGGATTCAACACTTAGCCTTTCCACCTTTATACTACCCACAGTCTAGTGTTTAATTCAGCATGCAGCTCTTTCATTCATGCTGGATGTATGACCTGTGTGCATCTCCTGGTCTCATAAAAAGTCTTTTTGTATGTCTTGTATGACAGTTCAGTCCCTTTGGTCACTATAAGTTTTTCTCAATGCAAATACATAGGTAGATAGAACTTATTATTGCCATATACTGTACAAAATTGATGTACTTATGTCTGGCTGGCTTTTTGAAATTGCTTATAGACTTCCAACACTATGTCTGTAATGTCTATATATGTCTATATGGTGTTTAGCTCTCACTTTCAAACTATTTGATACAAAAAGAATTAGTAATGATATAATACAAGTCAGCGATTTTTGAATTGATTCAGCTGATATTCACTTTTAATTTCACCTATATTTGAAAAACTATACATACTAGGGGTGGGGTGGTTCAATGAAAAAAAACAACCCGTTCGTTTGGCAACTCAGGTTCAGGGCACATATTTATTGTTTGGTTCATTTGAAATAGTTTGAGAGTTGTTAGGGGGGAAAAAAGCCTTGTGCCAGTAACCCAGTAAAACCTATTGGCACGGATAAAATGTCGATTGCAGCTGTCAGTCTTATAAATGGCCAGGGGACAAGACAAAGTACAGTAAGAAGATCTGCCAGTGTCACTTCGGTCTGCTACAGATTTACTGAGAATTCATCTCTGAAAGCAAGACATGAGCAGCGTGTTTGGCTTGTCAGAACAGACGCCTGTCAGCAGGATGGCGGTCAGACAAAAAGTCTTTACTGGACTAATCGACAGTAAAAGTATAGCTATCAGACAGAAAATGACTAGTGATTGAAGGTATTCAGACAGCTGTTTGTGGAGCTTGTTTCAATAAATGCACCAGAGGGTAAAAAATAGACCTGAAGCTAAAAAAAAAAAAAAATGCAGGGGTGATATGCGTCTTACACACTGTGTCAGTTGAAGCATTTAATTAGAAAGGAATCATCTCTCGGTGACACGTGTAAAAACATGTCTAAAGTGGTGGATAAAATGACATTACCTTGCTGTCCTGGGTACGTGTACCGAGCGAGAGTATTCTCTTCAGCAGGGTATATTGTAATTGCAAGTAGAATATGGGCTCGATACAGGTTTTGAGCTTGTAAAAACTTCAGAATATGTGTAGGAAAACCTTAATCGATTAAACATTTTACATTCTGTATGTGTAGAAAATGTTCTGAATGTGAATAAAATCAGTATGTATGATTACAAAATAAGTGCATTTGTGAACATCTGTGTACAGATGGAAAGCAGCATATACAAGTTTCAAGTTACAAGTTTGAATTCTGACCATGTTTTTACACCTGAATCTGATCGGACAATGACAGCCCAATCACAGAGCTGTGTCAAACTGTCCAGTCAGAGGGTAGTTAAGTCTCACATGCTTTATCTCCACTGCAGGTCCTGAGAGGTGTAGTAGACTTCCAAGATGACAACGCTGGGGGCTCTTCTGCCACACAGGTGGGTAACAGCAGAAAATGTGCATCATTCGATGTATGCAGTGTGCAGGTGCTTAGTTGTTGTTCTGAGGTAAATCATATGGGCTACTTTATCTAGTGTTTAGCCAGAACTGAATGTTCATTTGGGAGGTTCCAATCACAATAAACACGCCCACTTGAAAGGTTCTGGTTTGGAACACAAGTGAGGAAGTCAGGCTTGGATAAGCCTGGAAACCCTAACCCCGTAACCGCCACGTTAGCTGATGTTGCCATGAAAAGGGCCCATTGCCTCAGTAGGGTTGTTACCAAGGGGTGTAACCTCTGAGGCTGAGAAATGAAGCCAATGCAGAAGCGCCAAAACCTGCACTTCCTCAAATGGCCGCTTGAGGCTGGCACCAAAGGGGAGTCAATCCCCATAGATTCCAATGTTAAAAAGTCCAACTTTACAGGAGAAATAAATATTTTTACAGCCTGGTACTAAAAACGGTTTTGGTGTCTATAGATAATTTTGCCTTCTATGACAACTGTCAAGGGGTGCATTTTATTGTAGCTTTTTTTTTTTTTGTTGAAATTATATTCAGACTAAAAGTTGTTCCTTTAATTAAGGGCGTGGCCACTTTGATTGACTGGTGGGAGGGTCACGCCATAGGTGGCTGGCCACTATCTGTCTAGAGAGCTCCCCTCACTCTCCGCCTTTTGCCCATTTTAGGGTTAGACCGAGCAGGCGGAGTGTAGCACTACTAATATGGTGGCGGCCAGACTTGAGCTTCAAAACCACTCTTCAGAAAATCAATGGGTGACGTCACAGTGGGTTTGTCCAGTTGTCACTGGTGTAAATTTCATGTGATTGACAATCTTGTTAGAGCAGTGTCAGTGGCTGGATAACTGAGTGGGCCTGGCTCTCAGCCACTGTTATACAGTGGAAATACGGTGCGGATAGTGTGTGTCATGCCATATGAAATGATTCAGGAATGCTGTGTTGTAAGGTTATATGGATAGGTTATGATTGGAAAATAGTGTTTTATTGCGGGGCCCTGAAGATTTATGACAGGATGGCCTGATACTCTTCTTTGTGGCCAAATAGTGTTTAAACATCAGTGAACCTTTATAATGAGCTTCCATATGTGTGCTCATCCATTCTTCATTACATTTACATAGCACCTTTTTGTTTTCAACACCAAGTTCAGCAGTGTTTAGAAGACACGGATGTTTAGCACATTTCTTTCTTGTAGTGGAGTACCTATGTGCATTTGAGTGTTTGTCTGCCACCTTTGCATAAAGGCAGAGCTTCCATTTAGACTAAAGTCAAGACAAACTATCAGCAGCCAGTGATCATCAATGAACCTCAAAAATTTTGAAAAGCACTTAAATGAGGGAGACCACACGTGATTCTAATTCACCACTATGTGCCTTGTGATGGTGCTATATGAGACCAACAGTCAGATATGGAGAATAGAACATGCTGAACATACAGAGAGATGTGTTCTTCAAATTAAGGCGTATTTATTTTTTTCATCACTTTCATATATTTTGTAATACATTCTTAGTTACAATAATGTCTTGTTCTGCTCCTGTAATATGTCCTGCTTTACATTCAAGGTGGCAGCGGCCAGACGAACCTGTCTCTGGTGGCAGAGGAAGCACATGCATTACATTGTCCCTCTTCAAGAACAAATTTAGGCTACACCCCTACACTGATTAAGCTGTGGACAGGTAAGCTCATCAGAATAGATACCATGGTACAATTTGTAAAAGTTAAAATATCCTCCTCCTTCAGAGGAGTATATGCATTCAGTATATGCATGCGCTTACTGAAGGGGTGGTGTTAAAACTAAGGTGGAAGTGGTTGGGTGGAGGAGTCATTAAAAATGCTGCAATCTGCCTGTAGGAGGCTGAGACACCTACCTCATAGTAAAATAATATGGTGTCACTTGGCTACTACTTCACCATCCGTGCACTAGAGAAAAAAAAGTTTCCACAATGTAAATGTATTAAATGTATCATGAGTTAAAGAGAATAACCGACATGAAAACTCCCATTTAAATTCAGTGGGCATCATATACTGCCACAATAAAGAACACAACAACCCTTCGATAAATCTGGTATAAAACATGCATTTAGTAAGAGGTGTTCGTTTTTCTGCATTCATGATCATTTTTATGAAATGTGTTAGATTGTACAAGTTTGCTTTTCTGTGGTCATAGAAGAGTAAACTGTTATAACTAGGATATTTTTTGACTAACCTTTTTCAATGCATCTTCCAATAGGCCACAGATTGGTGAAGGGACGTCTGATGGCATCAGGCCCCAGAGTGCAGTGGACGAGAGCATGGTATTCCATGCACCGTGTAGATGGTCTTGGCTGTGTTGTGAGAAGTACAGACAGTGTCCCGGGCCCCTGGCACTGCTACACATCAACACCGCTCACAAGTTGAGCAGGTGAGAAATGTATTCTGAAGGTGTGGTGGTTCAAACAGGGGTAAGCACTATTATTTTTCTACCATGACAACTTCAGGTCAGACTCTCATTCCTTAAGCCATTGTTTTCATGACAAACTCGTTTAAAAATTGACTATCAGAATTACAAGTTGGGACCAAGTACTTCAAAATGCAATTGCAACACAGTGCAATGCATTACTTTATTGTAGGATAAATATAGCATCAAAAATAGCGTTTTAATGGGTTTCAATGGGGCAGATTTTGGTCCTAGGGACAATTACATGTTTTTATATATAATAT